TACAAAAAAATCCACCTGTAGTCACGGACGCTAGTCACGGATTTGGTGTGTAACTAGTTAGTCACGGTTCTAGTCACGGGCTAGGCACGGATTGTTTTAAAAAAAATAGTCACGGATATGACCGTGACTACGTCCGTGACTACGGTTAGTCACGGATATAATCCGTGACTAACCTATTCTGGCCAACCCAATTTTGCCTCCGGCGGTTTTTTTTTTTAAATTTGAAATCCGTGACTACGTCCGTGACAAAATGTTTTATATATGCAGCACCAGATTCATTCAACAGAACCACACAAGCTATTCCAGATAGAATTGAAGGATGTAATCTAGCCATCTTATATCATTTTCCCTATTTATGCAGATAAGGTATGTAATTTGAATTACGTATTTTTTTGTATGAATTAGTTGGTTCATTTTAAGTGTAATAAACTGTTAAATTAGAGAGATTATTAATTAAGTAACAAATTATGTCAATTTCATTTAATTTAGTGAAAAATTAGTTACTTAAACGTAGGAGCAGCAATTCCGGTCAAGAATTAGTCACGGACCAGATCCGTGACTAATCCGTGACTACAGTTAGTCATGGCCAAAGTTCAGTGGCTACATTTTAGTCACGCTGGATTAGTCTCGGATCTAGTCACGGACAAAATCCGTGACTAACTATGTTAGTCGCGGATTTTTTACGCTGCGGTCCGTGACTAAATTCGTGACTACGTCCTTGTTTTTTTGTAGTGGTTAATAACATATATAGAATTGTGAGTTTAATTTTACATTCAATAATTATTAGTATATGATTCAATAAAAACAAATATATAATTTAAAACTAGCAATTTTTATTACTCTTTTTTAGTACTACATGCTAAGAATATTTTCACATAATTTAAACTGAAATTTTCTGAAATAATCAGGTCTTTGTAAGTCGGGTTTGACCCATGTAAGTATGATCTTCACTGCAATGTTTATGTTCTATTTGATCTGTTTTGAAAACATCTTAAATGATGTCATATTTGTATTTATAAATTCTTCCAAGGTATTATTAAAAACTCTAAGCCACTATACTATGTTCATATAAAGTAACAAAAACGTCTATTAAACTATTCTTGTGTATACAGATTCTCGTTAAAATAACTTTAACATTTAGATACTTACTATCGCGCGTCTAAAAAAATCCCTATCAAAGCATTGTTAACAATTCTTATGAATACTAAATAAAGTCTATGAAGTAGAAATGAGGTGATATTAAATATATCATCCAAACTTTTAAAATTGCTAATATTCCTAATTTCAAATAAATATACGTAGTAGTAAAGAGAAAAGATTCAAATATATTCTTTTACTATTCCAAATTCATCACTTGATTTGAAATCATACATTAAAGACCATTATTATATAAGTGTCTTTACTTTGAAACACAATCAATCCAATGAATCCATCCAGTCCTTTAACCTATTATTGGAAGTCATTTTTTAAAAATAAGAAAAATGACAAATTTATGAAAATTATAAAAAAATAAAATACATAGAAACAGAAATAGAAAGGATAGCAAAAATATAAAAATACATAAAATATTTAAAAACATTAAAATTAAATATATAAAAATAGAAAATAAAACTACGGAGTATGAATCGTGCACCGCACGATGTTTAAACTTTTTCTTAAAATTATAGGGGAAGTGAATTGTATGTGAATTCATCTATCCGATCATAGTTTAAATGAATTCAATTGACTATAGATACATCTTTCAAAAAAATTCAAAATTCATAGGACTAACGCGTTACATGGTGGGTTAGAGTTATCAAATATGATATTAGGCAAACTCAATGTTCTAAAACGCGCTAGGCGCTAGTCGGGCGCCAACTCAATGCCTAGCGCCTAGTCGCCTAGGCGGGCGCCTACTCGGGGACTAGTCGTAGACATAGAAATTGCATTTGTATCTATATTTTTGCATAAATATGATAAGTAATATTGTATTTTTGTGTGAATAAAATACATACATACATACTTACACACACATACATTAACAAAAATGAATGATAGAATTATCACATTTAACCATACACTGTATATGATAACTAATCATTAACTTCATTATGTTATAAATATAAATAATGATAAAATTTTGGTATATATACAAACATATATAGTTTTATCTTAATTTACAACTTCATTTCTTTATATCCATGACTAAAGTTAAAGTATGTATATCGCTTAGAAAATTATAATTAAAAAGTAGAGTAATGTTCAGCGAATTTAGACGACCTAGGTGGCCGATTAGGCGCTCTAAACGAACAACTAGGCGCCGTAGACGGCCGACTGAATCACCTAGACAGCAAACCAATTAGTCGGAGCGTCTAGACGAAAATCGGAGCGTCCGGCCACCGCCTAACGCCTAGGCGGGGACTAGTCAGACGCGTAGAACGATTTTTAGAACAGAGGGCAAACTTAATGTGACGGATAAAAATTTAAAAGGTTTATAAATTTCCTTTCAAAACTATAATATTCAACTAACACTTTTTAACTATTATTTTACAGGGTATGTCATAATCTTTGATTATGTATGTATTCATTTTTGTATTTTCATTTTGTGCATTTTCTCTTTCTTTTTCTTTAAATTTTTCTTTGCATTTTTATTTTACTAAAAGACTTAATTAAGACTAGCACCGTCCTGCACTCCTGCATCTACTTCGTTTCAAATTTTGATGTGGATATTTTATTTTATTCATAAAACTAGAAACGAAAATTCATCAAAAACTAGAAAACTGAAGACGCATTTTTTCGACTGTCACTTACCAAAATAAAATCTCAAACACCTGTAAACGTGAACATAAAAAAAGCAGTTGGTATACCGTGGGAGCAGTCCTGGGTGAGAATGATGCTCCCACAAGCAAAAATCCAAGCAAAAATCGCGTGTTACTGTTCACGCGTGAACAATAACTTTTTGTTTTTGTTTTTTAATTGTTCCAGTAGCAGGGTGATGTAACTCGCGTGTAAAAAAATATAAGTCACGTTGATAGGAAATGTAACTGCATACAAGACGAAATGTAACTTATCTAATACAGTGTATAACAAATAAAACATTAATTTCAATTTAAACAATGAAATAAGAAGTCTAATTGCTCAATTACTTTACGAAATAGGGAACATGTTTTTTTAATATCAAGTGCATAAAACATATTTTTAAAAATTCATTTTTTAATTTTTGTTTTTTGCTCAAAAAGATTTTTGGCAATTTTTTTTATTCAATAGCAAGGGTCTAGTTGTGATAAAAAATGTAAATCATGTTGAAGAAAATCTAACTTAGGTGTATTCAAAATATAACTTGTTGAAACAAATACAAATGTAATTCGCACATAGGAAGATGCAACTCACGCATAAAAAGATGTGACTCGCGTATAAGATGCGTATAAGATGATGTAACTTCATACACTATCAAATGTAAACAATGAAAACAATTCAAGGAGTCTAATTGCTCAATTCATTTAAATTGAGTCGTACAAATGAGTTGATATTAAATACGTAGTAGAAATATAGAGAGAGAATATTCAAATATATTCTTTTACTATTTCAAATTCTATCACTTGAAATCATACTATTCTTTTACCATTATACAAGTGTCTTTACTTTGAAAAGACAATCAATCAGGTCCTTTTAACCTAATAATGGAGGTCATTTTTAAAAAATAAGACAAATTGACAAATTTTATGATACATAAAATTACTACGTACATTAAACTGATTTAATAATTACGAAGTAAGGAGCATTTTGATTTAATAATTACTACGTACATTAAACTGATTTAATAATTACTACGTACATTAAATAATTATGATACAAATTTTACGAAGTAAGGAGCATTTTGATTTAATAATTACTACGTACATTAAACTGATTTAATAATTACTACGTACATTAAATAAGAAGCATTTTGATTTAATTTTCATATTCAAAATAATTACATTAAATAAGGAACATTTTGATTTAATTTTCATATTCAAAATAATTACGTTAAATAATGAGCATTTAGATTTAAATTTTCATATTCAAAATAATTACGTTGAATAAGGAGCCATTTTGATTTAATTTTCATATTTTATATTCAAAATAATTACGTCCGATTCCACACTTCAAGATAGGGGTGGGCACAAAAAACCGTAACCGTTTAACCGTACCGAAAAACCGGAAAACCGGTGTCTTTTTCGGTTAACCGTACCAGAATTTTTAAGACTCACGGTACGGTTAACCAACCGGGAGGGAAAAATGGTTAGCGGTACGGTTACGGTTTTGGAAATTATGTCACCGGTTGGTTTGGAAATTATGTCACCGGTTAACCAGTAACCGTAGGATTATACGCAAACACTACACACGGACAATAAATTTCGACAAAGGTACGGGGACGGGAAAGTGAACACTTTGTATCATTTTTGGTGTATGTATATTCACGTTCACGCATGCATAGTGGAATAATATACACACTTTACAATCAATTACTCCGTACATAAGTTACGGAAATGTATACATTTTCTTTAGTGCTATACGTATATAAATAGTATAATTAACCTAATAACCGTATAAATACATACGTATAGGAACATATAATATGGAAAAGTAGTAGTACACATGGAAAAGTTTCGGAGCCGGAGAGTTTTTTTTGGAAAAGTTTCTGCTATATAAAATTTCTAATTTAATCTTGAACTGCTTATGTATTTTTTAACAAATCAAATGTTTAATACGGAGTAGTTTGATGACTTTATTCTTTTCCTTTTCATGGTTTTTGGTTAACCACTGATTGGTTAACCGATATTTTGGTTAACCGAGTATCGGTTAACCAATGTTACGGTACGGATAATGACATTAACACTATATTAACCAACATCACGGTTAACCGAAAATTGGTTAACCAAAGTGCGGTTAACCAATCATGCCCACCCCTACTTCAAGACGCATAGTATAGACGATTCCACACTTCAAAAAAGACGCATCATACGATTCACACACATACATAAACGTACGTCTATATAAGTAGTACGGAATGTAATACATAAGCGGTGGTAACTAAGACGGGATATACTTCGTATGAAGTACTGTATATAACTAAATATATATACGATCATACGAGCATATATAGTATAGACGATTATATTATAAGATTATAGTATAATTAAATATATAATGCGGAGTATTAATTATGTTAGTAATTAGACGTTGACGAAGCGGAGATAGTCCTTGCCCGAAGGAAGGTCGGCGCATTTGAAACCCTGGGGAAACATCTTCTTGGCTTCTTCGGTTGAGACGGTGGGAGCGATGACCGCCGGATCACCCGGTTTCCAGTTCACCGGGGTAGCAATCTTGTGCTCCGCAGCCTTCTTTAGCGAGTCCAACACCCTCACCACCTCATCCATGTTCCTTCCCGTGCTTCCCGGGTACAAAAAGCTCAACTTTATCTGCACCCAACATATAACAAATAATATTTATACTACATAATTTTATGAAAACAATTATTTTATTTTATTATACTTATTTACCAAAAAAAGTCAAACTTTAATTTTCTTTATTTACCAAAAAAAGAAAACAACTTTATTTTCTTTTTACCAACACATCCCAACGTTCAATCATTGGTCAAAATTAATTGTTATTTACCAAAAAAAGTCAAACTTGATGAACTTTTTTGATACAGTGAGAGTACTACTTATCATAATAAAAAAATTAATTTAACAAATTTTGTGGGATCAATGTAATTTCTCTGTTATTTAATTTATGTATACCTTCTTGTCGGGGCCGACGATATGGAGAGCTCGAGAAGGGACGTGGTTCCCGGCGGCATCCTTCTCGTCGGGATCAACCATGTTGAGTTGCTTGATGAGCTGCCTGTGCGGGTCAGCGATGATAGGGTAGTTGACCTTATGGCCGTCGTTGTAGGCCTCGATGTCCTTGATCCACTTCTTGTGAGACTCAACGTCGTCGCACGAGAGCCCGAGGAGCTTCGCTCCCCGCTCGGCGAACTTGGCGGCGTAGACCGCCATCATCCCCAGCTCCGTCGTGCACACCGGCGTGAAGTCGCCGGGGTGGGAGAAGAGGATGACGTAGGCGTCATCCACGTAGTCGTGGAGCTTGATCTTGCCATGGGTGGTTTCAACTTCAAGGTTTGGGATTTCGTCTCCGATGGTAAGCCCCGGCATTGCGCTGACCGGTCAAACTACACTTACAAAGGTTAATTAATTAATGGTGGAAGCTAATTAAGTACGAGGTGGCGGTCGGGGGGATTGAAGGTGGTATTTAAGGTTGCGTAGGGTTGGTGCATGGCAGGAACGTGGCAGGAACGTGGCAGGATACGTCATACGTGGGGTCATGGGGTAGCCACATTTGCTTGCATGCAACTTCCCATTTCCTCACTGGTTTCCACGTGTAGCATCCTTCGCTGCTTCCATTATTATTCTTAAGCTTCATCTATCCGTGGATGTGATGATGTGTAGTATATTGTTCTCATGGAAACTTATTAATTAGATTTAAGAAAAAATCCATGTATATTATTCTTTAAAATGGGGTGGAAAAATATATTACTCTCTTTGTCATATTCTAATTAGCCAAATTTGATTTTTGGATGATAACGTTATATATTTATTTATAGAACTATTGATAATATGAAAGTTTTCTGTGTAAAAATAATACGATAGTACTATGTATTATCACTACAACAAAAAAGGCTATTTGGTGTGGTTATTTTGACTTATTTAGTGCATTTCTCAACCGCAATTTAGTGTGTTTGTTGCGGTTGTGAACCGCACCAAATACTCAATCATAATACGGAGTATTTTAGTTAAATGCTTTTTGCAGCGGGTAGTTATGGACCGCAACAAATTCTCACAATAATTTTACATACAATACCAATACGTACTGTACTACATGGTTTCATTACAGTATGTTTTATTAAATTTCCAAGTAGACAATTAAACATATTTTAATCCAAAATAAGACCTATCACCTATATATAAGAAAAATAAGCCTTTTCTTAATACGTAGTATCTCATGAATCAGTCATGACATCATTTATCATTTATCCAAGTATCACAGAAACATCATAGAAATCCAATACAACAACATTAATCTTAGAATACATTCTTTATATATAATATTCCAGCCAATTATTAGCATTGCGAGTGTACATAGCGCCTGTAACAAAAATAAAGTGGAAGAATCCATAACCATATAATGACGAGTACCTCAAAAACAACAAAATTAAAGACAAAAAAATTGCATCAAATAAGTAAGATTAAAATGATAAACATGTTTACTTCATTCAGTTAACATTTCATACTCAGCATTTCAAATTAAGTTTTTAAAATAAATATAATATTTAATTCAAACAAAAGTTTATAATTCAAATGTTTGTATCTAACTCCAGCTCCTTGTATCAAATATAGTCAATGCGTTCGTATAAATAAGACTAACTATATTTTATTTCCAAAATATGACATATCCTATTAAATGTACAAAACTTTCCCTATTTTGAATGAGTGAGTCATATTTTAGAATGCAACCATTGGTGATCACAATTATACACTATCTACATTTTAGTCATATTTAAGAAATTTCATTTCTCTTTAATTCCTCTTCAACTATTTAAAACACGTCAATGGTTCCGAACTATTTGGAAGAGAATTGACATTGATTGATTAAAGGGTGTCTATTGATTGTGGATTGTGTGGATTTTTTTAATTCATGCACTTTTAAATCTATATAGCTTTTTTTATGAATAGAATCCATTTACTTTTAAAACCATGGATAAGTTCGTAGACTTTTAAATTCGGACTGCATCTGCCGATCGTCATAATTTCCACCAAAATCGCCGCTAATGATATGCCTGAATCTCACCGCCGTTCGCCTATGTCACCGTAGTTCACCACCACAATCATCAGACTGATCCGCCACCAACAAAATGACGTTGGCTATGTAAGGGATCGAACAATGGGCAATTAATTATATTAATTCATTAAATAATTGGGGGTAGAAATGTAATGTTTAGTCTTATTTAAGGAAATTCAAACATGTGATCGTACTTTGGCAAGAATGCTATATTTAGTTCTACCGTGAGTAATTTCCTTTATATAATATGATAAGAGACAAATAAATAAATAAATAAATAAATAAATAAATAAATAAATATATAAATAAATAAATAAATATATAACTAAGTAAGTGAGTAAGTAAATAAATAAATAAATAAAATAAATGTAGTTCATCTAGCAACACAGAGTTCTACAAGATTAAATGAAACCAAGCATGCAAATTTATTTTTATTAATAAGAAAACTCAAAGTTTAATTTCGAGAATGCTCAACAAAGTTGGTCTCTTTATGATCAATTATTATATTACACAACTCAATGAGTAAGAAGTAAGAACGCTAATCGTTACACAAATGTTAAACTCATTATTGCTTAATCGCTACATGTGATACGAGCATATGTGCAATCGTAGTACATATGTGCATATGTACACGTACATTAACAAACATGAATGATAAAATTATTACATTTAATCATACGTAGTACGAAGTTTATAATATCTAATCACTTAACTTCATTATGTTATAAATATAAATAATAATAAAATTTAGGGAAATATACAACCATATATAGTCTGTATCTTAATTTACAATTTCATTTCTTTATATCTATGGCTAAAGTTAAAGTAGTTACGTTATATCAGTTAAAAATTAAAATTAAAAAGTAAAGTAGTGTTCGGCGAATCTAGACGGCTTAAGTGACCGATTAGGTGCTCTGGACGGGCAATTAGGCACCATAGGCGGCCGACTAATTCACCTGAACGGCAAACCAATTAGTCGAAGCGCCTAGATGAAAATCGGGGCGACCGGCCACCACCTATCGCCTAGGCGAGGACTAGTCGGACGTCTAGAAAGATTTTTAGAACAAAGGTATTAATGTAGAATCTCCTTAATAAACTTTTTTTATCGTGAAATGATAAAAACTCATAATTTAATATTCGAATCTTGCATATATTGAGCCCATCCTGGTACTCACCTCTCGACCCGGTCCGTACTAGTCCAGGACCTGTTGTCCGGTTTGTGATCCTGCATAAATAATTATTGTTGGGTAAATGGCCCAAATAGGACCGGCTCATTAACCACTAAGGCCCACCGGACGACCGTCTCCAAAGCCCAACAATCTAGGGACACATACTCTCAGAGTGATGACGTCCGGCTCTTTCACCAAAATGGCAGTAAGCGATAACGACGTACGTCCCCAACAGGCCTCGGGAGCATGCAAGACGAACGTCTCCAAAGACCTGGGCAGCTGGTAACGTCTTCCCCCTACTTCAGGGGACATACGTCTCCAACAGGCATTCAAATGCCCAATTGCAAGACGAACGTCTCCAAGAACTTGGGCATCGGGTAACGCCTCCCCCTACTTCAGGGGACGTGCGTCCCCGACATGCATTCAAATGCCCAATTGCAAGACGAACGTCTCCAAGGACCTGGGCAGCTGGTAACGCCTTCCCCCTACTTCAGGGGACGTACGGCTCCAACAGGCATTCAAATGCCCAATTGCAAGACGAACGTCTCCAAGGACCTGGGCAGCTGGTAACGCCTTCCCCTACTTCAGGGGACGTACATCCCCAACATGCATTCAAATGCCCAATTGCAAGACGAACGTCTCCAAGGACCTAGGCAGTTGGTAACGCCTTCCCCTACTTCAGGGGACGTACGTCCCCAGCAGGCAAGCAAATGCCCAATTGCAAGACATACGTACGTCCCCACCTTTTTTTTATTTGGCGGGAAACCACGATCCTGGCGAGAAGCACATTTAATTGTGGGATATATATGGGCACCTCTAGCGGAGACATGGGCAGGGCAAGTAGAGGGATGGAGGTAGCAATGACAGGGAAGCAACCATTCAGAGCTTGCCACCTCATGCTCCCTCTGACCCTCATCCAGCCCTTTAGAGCTTGCCACCTCATGCTCCCACCGACCCTCATCCAGTATAAATAGCAGTGTTTCCTGCTGTGTTAGGGGTTGTCATTTGTTTCTCATTAGCTCTCTAGTCATTCTATCTCTTGTATTAGCTGCTAAGTCCTAACTGCCGTTCAACCGTTTCTCTTGTAAGTGTTATTACTGAGTTAATACAAGCAGAGCTATTTGAGTTCATTAATTATTCAGTTTTTATATTTTCTTTGACATTTGAGATAATATCCACGTCCTTAATATCCAAAGCGTGTGTTGGGCTTTCGGATCTACGAGATTAAACTTCAACATTGGCGCCGTCTGTGGGAAACTTTACTAAAAGTTTCCAAAGCAAAACACTGATCTAGGCAAGTTACACACATCAACATGGTCAGAATCACATCTGAACGCACCCATGGTTCTTCCGGGGGACAAGGGACAGCAGGTCCTCCAGAACCTGGGCAACGGAGAGCCGCACAAGCTGTAGTCAAAGTCAGGGGTATGACGGGGATTTCACCCACCTAATCCCTGAGGATGCAAGAAGAAAGAAGAAACCCCCGACTCATGAAGCAAATGGCGGATGCTATCCGCTAGAGGGCTGGCACACATGATGAAGGGTACTCCACATATACTGGGACACTGAATACAGACACCCCTCGCCAATTCGCAGAATGCAGACTCTGGATGAAACTGAGGATACAGAATCAACTAGAGCTTCGGTCTATTCATGAATGGGACATGAGAATCATAGAAGGACACATACATCCGGATACCAACAACATACTCCTAGCGACCGCACCCCGACCGGACCCGGGCCAGAGGAACCATTGATAATGGGTTAACTAATTAACTAATTAATTAAGTTAAAACATTGAGGAAATGGGTTTAGAATTTGATGAGTTGATAATATTAGTTAGATTTAAATATTAGTCAATTGATCAATGATGATGATTAGGTTTAATTTGTTTATTAATTAGTTAATTATTGTTAATGCATAATTTAGGATTTGTAGTGATTTAAGTTAGGATTCAAACTTTATTAGTTAAGTGTGAATTATATATTATTGTGAATTAATGATATTTAACAATATTAGTTAAATGGAAATTAACTAATTAATAAGTTAAATTAGTTAATTATTGTTAATGGGATGCATAATATATATAGCTAGGCCGGGTTGAAACTTTATTTTTATTTAGTTTAGTGTGAATTATTATTGTGAATTATTATTGTGAATTATTATTGTGAATTATTAATGAGA